ATCGTGCACACGCCGCTACGAGAATTTCGCCGTAACAAAAGCGCGCGCCTTGATCGACTAGCTGACGAGCGCAGCGAGCTACCTATCTGCGCGTCTGTGCGCCGTAGCTTCATTTACAATGCAAATCTTTGGCCCGAGAAATTCCAGAAAGCTGTGGTATCGCAAACTTGCTATGACGCGCGGACGCGAGCCAGGATTGCGCAGACCCGGGTGCCTCGAAAAATCAAAGACGAAAGCTCGGATGCTTACGTCACGATTTGCACATGAGCTAGGTAGCTAGGTACGTTTGCTCAGTTTTTTTTCACAAGCTCCTCTATTTTGTACGAGTATAAATTACGTATCGGTTACGTCTAATCCGAAAGCAAGGCTGCATCTGCAGGTTGGAAGCTAGCTAGCGAACAGCCGATATCGCAATGAAGTAGGCCGGGCGCATCGATCGCCAGCAGCAGCAGCAGCAGCAGTTCAATTAAATCAACGCCCACTGACCATTGTTCATTAGTGTAGTCAGTGCAGACATCGGTGCAGCCGGCATGTGGGGGACATCGCCACGAGCTGCTGTGGCTATACACAAACGAGACAAACATTTTTCACAGGCGATACATACCAACTGCGAGAAACATTTTTAGAATCACAGTCGTTTCACTTCAAAACATACAAACATAAAAACTTTAACATTATTTCTCGCAATTGGTATCAGAGTGAACATCGACTATATAAAGAGTAAAAGTCATGCTGAAGGGCCTGTGAGTAATTTTTATATCCCCGAAATACAAATAGACGACGACGATGACGACGATACGATCGATCTGCGAGTTTGGCGGCATCGCTCGATACGCCGGTAAAATGACGCTGTTAAATTGTGACGCGCGCGCGTGACTATCGCGACGCCAATTTTATGTCTGCATGAGAAGCAGAGCCGATGAATCAAATTATTTATCGTGCCCACTCGCGATCAGAAATGCAATTACAAAAGTCAGCTGCGGTGTACAGGTATAGAGCGTCAACAGGGCTGCGGGAGAGAGAAAAATATGACGATTTTAACGCCATCCGAAATGACTGTACTGACCTAGAACGCGTGTACTGGCTTAATATCAATTACGTTAAAATCAATACGACGGAGCACGTACGTGTGCTCGTGTGCGATAGCCAGCGAGAACAATGGCTTTTTCTCTTCTGTCTCTCTGTCTCTCTGTGCGGTTAGTGGCTGACTCCAATTAGCGAAACGAAGCTACCTGCCCCGAGAGAAGAAGACAGCCTAGGCGTTGTTATATAGGTCTCTTTTTTTGCGAGCTGGCAAACGAAAAGGAAAAAGAAAAAAGAAGAAGAAAAAAGGAAAAGACTATATAGTGCGTGTACGTGAAATGTGCGGCGCCTCGTGACCTGAAAAAACGTCGCAAAGTGACTTTTATATTCTTACGTATACGAGCGATGCGAGTTCGTCGCTTTGTGTAATGTATTCCTCGAGCTTAGACGCGCGAGTACGCGTAGCCGTGCGCTCGGACTCGTGCAGGCGCACACGGACAGCTGCACACACGCGCTCGAGTACGCGAGGCCTATCAATAATTCATGACCGTGTGTGGTAGTAGCCTAGTAGTAGTGGCAGTGGCAGCAGCAGCGCACCCAGAGCTCTGCTATCGATATGCCGGCACCGATATATATTTACATTTGCTCCGAGTCCGATCGAGTTTTACATACAATGTAAAACTCCATTGTATATACAAATCGAAGGAAGCAGTAACGAAATGACGAAAATAAAATTAGTATCGATTTTTGCGAGGAAATTTTTATTAGATGCCGGTGCTGCTGCTGCTGTGCGGAGCTCGGACACGCGGCGTCGATCGATTCGCGAGCAACGCTACGTATACGAGCATATAAGCCAGAACCATTGCTTACGCGACATCTATCTTTAGGTCGTTGGCAAATAAGTAATAATTAAGCTGAAAAAGTAGCGGCGGCCGTTAAATATTGCAACGACGCATCGTGCCATAATAATGAGGCGCGCTCGCGAGCTTTTATACTCGACTCGTAGCGGTGTAGGTAGATCGCGCCAGATTACTCGGAAGAACGCGACGCTACCTGGAACTAATGCAGCTAAAAGAATCATTTGGCTTGTCTACCTACGTGTGCGTATACGATACTATTACGAGGACGCAAAAGTAGACTCCGAGTCGGATAATAACTGCCGGCGTAAGCGTAGCAAACAAGGCGACAAAACGACGAAAAACGACGAAATCGAGCTCGTTCTTTCCACCTTCTCCAGGTGCATAAATTGAAATTAAAATTTAGCTCACGATTCCGAGTCACACGCGCGCCCGCCTGATAAGCTGCCTGCGCTGCGCTGCTCACACTTATATATATGTTCACCTCCGTTTATAGCCGCATGTGCGCGACGCCTCTCTATATACTCACACGCGCGTATAAGTACACATGTATATGCCGTAAGCGAGTAGTAATGGTGCTATCGATTGCACTTTATGCCGAAACGGCGCAGCGAGTCTGTCTAGAGCTGACGCGCGCGATGCTAATTGAATATGTGCAGTGTCGATGCCGTACGGGCAATAAACCGACTCCCGCGCACCTATCATAAATATTGCCGGGTTTTTGGACTTTCTGCTACTATTAAACCATGTGGGCTGGAAGTGGAAGCGTGGCACGTCTAACATCTCTCTCTCTCTCTCACGCGTTAATTTTTTTCTCCTCGCAGTCGCTCGAGCATGGCGCTATCTTATCTTATCAGTCCTTTTACGTAGCAGCTACCGTGGCCATGCCTGCCTGCCTGCCTGACATAGCTGATCGTACATGCATGTGCCGCTAGCGACGCTACTTTTACAGCTTTCCTTTTTTTCCTTGCCTACGGAAGAGTTCGACTCGCGATTACTTTTCGTATAAAATCGATTGGCACTTGAGCGAGAGAGACTATCACCGGCCTGCTCGGCTCCGAAATCTCGACGCAAAAATTACCAGCAGTATGGCAAACATACATGATTTCTGCTGCGCTTATCGAGCAATAAAAAACAGCCTCGCAATTCGCGAGTAAACATACGCACATACGCTCGTATACGTGCGTGGCTGTAGATGCTCGACGGCGAACATTTATTTGCAACGTGGCGCACAATCGGCCGCTATGAAATTAATTAAATTTCGTCAAACGATCGTCAACACCAGGCGTTCGGCCGAGTTTACTTTATTTACATCAACGAAGCTGGCCCGTCCATGCTCGGAAATCGTTTCGATTATAAGCCAGTTGTACTGTGTACAATTCGGGTCGTTGCGCATCCTCGCACCGATCGTCGCAGATTCACTCGTAAAATTTAGCCAAAGGAAAAAACACGAATTATAAAGATACAAAGAGTTTTTATCGCGCATTTTTCGATCCGGATCGTTTCTTGAAAATTGAATGTCAAAAGATCAGATTGAATGGGCTATTTTGTTTCTTCATGAGCGAGCTAGCGATCGCTGGCCGCTGCAGAGTAATGAAGCCGGGAACCCCCCCGAGCACAATCCGATGACGTACACGCGTTAACACGCCTCGTTTAGCTTGTCGTCAATTTGTACCTCGATCGATGTAAAGAACGACGGAGCGAAAGAGAGAAAAAAAAGTCAACGAGATGAAAAAAATAATTTTTCTGCCTACACGAAGCTGCGCGTGGGTGTACTCGTATATATAAATAACACTCGTGAAATTCCAACTCGAAGTTCTCTATAGCAAGATTCACTCGTGTGTCCACAAAATGCAATACAGCTCGACGATGCGAGCTTGGATTTTGCGCAGAAATTTCCTCGAGACTCGTGATCGGCCAAGTTTATTTTGGCTGGCGAAGATCCTTTCGATCGTTGGTGCGTGTCCGCCGAGGCTCGGTGTGTTGCCGAGCTGAGCGCGTGAATCAGACGAGCTTCGAGTCGCACGCGCAAGCACGGAGCGCATGCACATGCATGGACAAGAAAGCCGACGCGTCTATTTCGGTAGGTCGGTGAAAATAGCTTTAGAGCTTCGACTGGGGGTACATAGTTAAGCTAAAGAGACACCTAGGAGAGGAGCTTATATTATGCGTTGTACTACACGCTTGGCGCGGAGCGTCGTCGTGTTATGTACTGCGCGTTATATCGTACATGCGCATACACGGAATTGGGTCAGGTTCTTTTTTCCACGTTGATTCTCTGCAAGTGCGTTTCGTTTAAGGAGATGTAAAATATTCTTTCCTAAACAATGTATTTTCTCCCGTTTGCGGTGTTGTCGTTTGTGCCATAATATAATACGATTGTACGGGTGCAGCGCAGCTATGGGACATGGCTCGAAACGAAAATGAATCGGTGACTAAGTCGCCCGTTGGCTGGCACATGCACACACAGAGATACACATTTAGAGCCCGAGGCGTTTTTAAGTATGCGCGCCGATCGTAAGTCAGCGCGACGAGTGAAACTACGAATGGGCCGCGCGTTGCGTTGATCGAGCGCGAAAAGCACACACAGAGAAAAGTATATCAAAAATAAATGACGTATAAATACGTTATGTGCGTAATGTAGCAGCAGCAGAACTCGAGCAACGAGAATTAAACGTTTCGTTGGCTGCGTGTGACTCGCCACTAGCGTCTCTATATTTAAAATCAAGCGAAAGAGAGAGAGAGAGAGAGAGAGAGAGAGAGAGAGAGAGAGAAAGCGAGATTTGCGCCTTTCGGCAGAGTTGCATAACCTCTGGCGAGTGCATCTATAAAAGTAAGATGTGTGCTTGTATTTTAGTTCGCCCGCGTGGTTTATTTTTTACGCGCGCCTTTGCGTGTGTAGTTATACCAACGGGCGAGTTATGCTCCCGAGTGCGACGATTGATCGGCGATATCTCATTTCGAGGTCGTTAACCCCCCGAACTGAAATTAAAAAAAAAAGAAAAAACAAAAACACATAGAACCGGGGGAATAGAATCGATTTATAATACAATAGTAGCTCGAGTGGCGGATAAGCAATGGCAACGAAAGATTGTCTGAGTCAACGATAAGACGACGCACCTGCTGATACGGCGACATCTGCAGCAAGTCGCGCTCGTCGGCCGAGGTCACCTCGAACGTCGGGGCCGTTTGCATGGGGTAGAGGCTGCCCTTGCCCGGATACGAAGTGCTGCGTCGAAATTTCACCGGACTGATGCTCTGTTGCTGCTGCTGTTGCTGATGCTGCTGCTGCTGGTGCTGTTGCTGCTGCTGACCGGGAAAAGTGGGACTGGGCTTTCTGCCCTGCATCCCGGCCGCAGCCTGTGCCGCAGCGGCTGCCGCGGCCGCCGCGTGCAGATTCGAGTGCAGAGGCGGCAGATTCGGCACGGACTTGCCCCGATTCCAGGGCGACAGAGCCGGGCTCGACTGGGCCGGATTCTGAGGGCCCCAGTGCTGAGCGCCACCCGACGACTGCTGAGCTCCGCCTCCACCGGACCAGGCGCTGTAGTTCTTGTTTTGCATGTACTGCTGTTGCTGCTGCTGTTGCTGCTGCTGTTGCTGCTGTTGCAGGGCAGCGTGTCGATTTCCCGCGCTGTGATTGACCGACTGGGCGGCAGCGGCTGCGGCTGCGGCGGCTGCAGCGGCGGCCACGGCCTGTTGCTGGGCGAAGTTGTGGCTGGCCGTGATGGCGCGTCGGGCCCCGGCGCTGTTCGAGGCCGCGGCGAACAGACCCGCCGGGTTGTTCGAGCTCGGGAAGTTCTGGAAGGCGGCCATGGAGTTGGCCCCGTTGCCGCTGCCGTTGACCGGCTGCTGCTGCTGCTGGAGGTTGGCCGCGGCTGCCACCGCTGCGGCGTGCAGTCCGGAGGCGTCGTCGGCCCAGAGGTTCGGTACTCGGACGCCCGAGTCCTGCTGGCTGGCCGAGCCGAAGCCCTGGAGGCTCGAGCAGCTGCCCAGCGAGACGTCCTTGTCGACTATCGAGGCGACCGAGGAGGACGCGAGGCTCGAGCCAGCCCCGACGACGATACCGTCGCAGTCGCTGGAGGCGTCCTTGCCGTTGTCGGGGCCGGTGCCGCTGCTGCCGGGGGCCGACGAGTCCGAGCCCGGCGACTTGGGCACCGACTGTTGCTGCTGCTGCTGCTGCGGCTTCGAGTCGATCAGCAGGTCGTCCTGCATGATGCCCTGGTTGAGGATCGAGACGGGGCTGCAGCTGCTGGCGGCCGAGGGCGAGAACAAGCTCGTGGCTCCTGCGTAATCGGTCATGTCCGGACTCGATCGGGGGAGAGCTTTTACGAATCCGTGTATACGTTAGGCTTTGTATCGATTGACACGATTGCACCGATGCACCCACGCACGAACGAACGAACGCACGAATGGACACACAGAGCTACACACGGTCGATCACCACACACACGCACAGGTATACCACACTGTTGTCACTATTGACACTGATCGAGCTGGATGCACGCACACAGGTGAAGGGCTATTTATATGCGCTATCGTGTGCCTCGCTCCGCCAGTCGCTGCCAATGCAGCAAAAAGCACGAGTAGTAGTAGGTAGGTATAGCAACCGAGAGACAACAATAACTAGAACGCGAGAGATGCGAGACGAGCTTTGACGATATGCCGTGTGTGTGTGTGTGCCGGGACAAATATTTTCCTCACTTGAACGAGCACTTGGGCACACTGCGAATAATCGAATCAATCACCGCACTCCGCTACGCTGAACTACTTCGAAGAGACGTTGTTGTCACGCACGCACAGCACTATCCGATCGAGGGATGCTAGGCCCACGTATTATTAGCCTCATTATCGACTATATATTTCTTGGCATACGCACGTGTGAGCGCTGCTCCGATCTGTGTCGGTGTTTCACTGGCTGCCTCTGCGACTCTGCGCGTATCGATGCCTATACTCGCGTGCTCCGAATGCGGCTCTCTCACTCTCTCGTACAACTTGTCTCTTTCTCTCGCTCTCGATGACTGTAATTTTCACCTCGTACCTCTCCAACTGCCGCTCGGAGATAAGATAAGGTTTTCTTTCTTTCGTTGCGTGTTTTTTGTGTTGCTCTTTTTCATGAAAAAAGGCGCGAGATGGAGCAGATAGACTGGTCGCGAGGTTCGGTCGACATTTGGTCGTCAGTCAGGGCTAACCGCCGGCGAGCCTCCGCATCGTGCCAGTGGTGCTGGCGCGTCAAGCTCGATCGTCGCTGGTATCAGCAGAGCAGCTTGCAAGCTCCCGAGTCTCGTCACGAGCATGCACCAAGCGACGATTACACTCGCACTCACGGAGCCAGGCAGACAGGCGCGCGCGCACACACACACGGAGCCTTTGCTCTCTTGACTGTTGGCCGCTGTTGAAACGTCACTGGCACGTCGAACGAACGATGCTCGCTGCAATCGCAATTGCCGCGAGTCGTCGTGGCGCAGTGGCAGCAAAAAAGCTCCGATCGCAGCAGCGACTATATGGGTTGCTGCTGCTGCTGCTGTCGTTGGTGGCGGCGAGGAGAGCGAGGGTTGCGGTGAGCCAACAGAGAGACGATGGAACTTTGAGGGGAAGTGGCGGGGGGAGAGCAAGAGGGCTGGAGGGGAACCCCGAGAAAGCTCGCTCGCTCGCAGTAGTAGCAGCAGCAGACGATCACTTCCGGCTCGGTGTGCGTGGCGCGTATATGTGTGTATATATGGGAGCTGCGAAAGCTCGCTGCGCTTCTGAGGCTGCTTGGTGGCGTCTGCTTGGCTGGCCCCGAGCCGAGTGAGAGACTGTGTGGGTCGGCTCGAACGTCGTTTAGCGGCTAAACTCACCGCTGCTGCTGCTGAACGATTCGCTCGTTCTCCACCGGGCAAAAGCGTAATAATCTAATCACGTTGGCTGGTCGGCTCGATGCGGCACATATGCTCGGTGCTCGGTGCGTTGGCTCCCTCCACGCGCGGAGCGACTACTGATGGCTCGTCGTCTGCCACACAACGACGATGACGACGACGACGACGACACAATATGTAACACACAGCTAGGCGTCAAAAGCAGCTAGCTCGACTCACTTTTTCCTCTCTCTCTCTCTTATTATCAAATAGTGGCGAGTCGAGGCAACGCGCCAAGCTCTCTCTCTCTTGCGCCGCAGTACCTATATGCGCGTGCACCTATGTACTCGTGGCTCCGACTCGATTAATATTTTTTTTTTATTACAAATACGTCAACGGCAGCAGCAGTACAAGTGGCAGGCGGCAGCGCGTGGGATCGCGCGCGCTCGTGTGTGCTTGTGGGTGGCTGCTTCGGTGTCGTCGTGCACTGCACACATCGGTAAATATATACCGTCGATAAATGGGTTTTTCGTCGATTGGTGTATGTGTATAAGCAGCGGCTGTGCGAGGCGCGCGCGCTCGTTGGCTGCTGCCGTGTGGCTTTATGCAGCCGACTTTTGGAACACACTGAGTAAAGCTTAGCAGAACACCACCGACGGCTGCGGCCCTCTTTTCCTACGTACACCTAATGCACACCTACACAGACGCGCGCGAATCTGCTGCTGCTGCTGCTGCTGCTGCTGCTGCTGCTCCGTAAGAGTAGAGTAGTGCATGCCTCGTCACAAGCACATGCAGCTCCTCTCGCGCACACATACATGCCGTGTATAACGCATATCGCACGTATACACACACGAGCAGCCGCAGAGAACATCGGAGTATCGGACGCTCACGTATACGGTAGCTCGACTCGGTGGCTCTGTGTCGCGCGCGCGCGCCACTGCCGATCCGCGACGTGGGGGGCTTTTGCGCGCGTCGACTCCCACTGTCCGTGTGTCTACCTATGTACGTGTGCAGTCTCTACTATACTCTACTACTATAGCCGCGATTCAGGCTCGTGCTTGCGCGTCTGTGTGTGCGATGCTCGACGTCGACGATAACGCACGTACTAGAGAGCATACATACGCACGCACACGCAGAGAGCCGAGGAAGGTGCGCGCGCTCTCGCGAGTCACTCTTGGCCCTCGCAGGTTATACGCCGAGCCGAGAAAGCTCGAGCGCGCAAGCGTTGAGTGAAGCTGCTGCTGCTGCTGCCTGGCCGAGCTTGCGCTAGCTGCAGCCTGGATCCTAGCCCCGAGCGCGAGCGGGCTATACTCGCCTATCGCGTCCTACTCGATAAGCTTTTTCCATTCGAACTAGCCGTCGAGTGCATAGTCGGACTTTGCCAGCTCCTTTATCGACATCCAATATCGGCGTGGCTCGTTACTCCGCCACACGCGTTCGGTCCTTATCGACGCTAGGCAAGCAACGATTCGGCTCCGAGCTGTAATTGATCGATGCTATCGATGTATCGCTCGACGCGCCAGTTCGGATCGCAGCAACGGAACTGGGCAACCCGAGCGCCACGGACCGGATCGACCGAGGGCTTTGAATTCCATCGGCGAGTGTCGGCTGCCTCGATCGAGCACCAACGACTCCTCCAACAAAAGCTCCACTCGCGCGCTTACTTTTATTCGTTTTATGCGCGACAGAGAAGCGCGCGTCGCGATCGATTATTTCCGAGCGATAAATCATGTGCACCATGCTCGCTTCTTTCCCGTTGACCTCGTTGAGCCTATTGACCCGCGAGCCGAAAAAAACTCGCCGAGTCACAGAGCGCGCGCGACCGGTACACAATAGAGCCGATAAATATTAAAAGCTCGCTGGAGATAAAGCTCGCGCGCCCAACACCCATTGAAATTCAACGTAGCCGAGCTTTCGGGGGGGCAGCTCGAAATCTCGCAGCTGTACACAAAGCATCCCCATAGCTCATGTACGAGTGCGCACATGTATTTGCGAGAGCGCAACCCAATATGTATATACGAGTGCAGTGACGGAGCCGCTCGACGCTCACCGTCGATCTACGCGCTCGTGCGCAGCTGCGACGACCTACATTTCGACCTCTGCCTCGCGCTTACGACCCAACTACCCCCTTCCCTCTCCCTTTCCTGCGGGCTAGTCGGAGCTCTTCCCCTCGACTCTATACACCGGAGACCATCAATTTTGCCTGTAAAGTACGAAAAAAAAAACGAGCAAAGCGAGAAAAATGAATAGATATGTTAGATGAATTTCCGGTACTCTTCGCACGCGCGATTGTTTCAATTGAAAAGACCCAAGCGCAGATATTTGCACTGATAGTTTTTCCAAAAATGTCTGTACACTTCCTTTACTCGTTGACTTAGATTAATGAGACGTTTTGCAATGTACCACCATCGCTAAATCCCAATCGTACTAAATTATTTGAACAATTGTAGAAGAATTATGAATGACTAAAAAGATGAATGCTCAACCATCGAGGTATTTAGACTCCGGAGTTATTGTGCCAATTGTAGCAAAAAGTTTTTCGTAAAATTAATGTATTTTTTTGCTAAAAATATAATCAATAACAAAACTTCGTTCCTACAGTTTGAATAGGGAAATTCCAAGTAAGATGGTCGTACGAAGCAAGCCAGTTATAAGGGCTTTATATTTTGTTAATGTAACATTGTACGAAGACTTTGACATTTTATACGGTAAACCTACTCGTAATCAGACCTCAGCTAGTTTTCAGACACTTCAGGTTAAAATGTATTTTTAAAAATATTTCTTCAATAAATTACTTTGGAAAAATACAAAACAGTATTTATATACAAAATAGTACTTACATTTTTATAAAAATTTAACTCGAGTGTTGAAATACTTTTATTGATACCTAAACATTTTTCAAAAAAGGCTTAACATTACTTCACTACACTATTCATTTCTTTTTTAATATTCATTATTATCAGATGAAAAACAATACTTGAAAAGTTAGATTTTTGGTTTGTAATTTAGAAAAAATTGTCATGACTTATAATTTTCCGAGTTATGGCTAAAAAAAATTTTAACTTAGCCTCAAATGACTTGAAAGAAAATGTTATGTTTGAGTTTTAAACATATGATCACATCAGAAGCTTGCTAACATAAAAAGAAACAAAATTCAAAATCAAATCAAGTTTAATCCGGTTTGATCCCAGCTCGATCGTCACCGAAAAAAATTCACAGAGTTTCCTTGCACCGTCAATATCTCCTAAATTATTTTAATGTATTAATAAATTTAATAGCCACAAAAAATGCAAACGTATTGAAAACCACAGGTAAAACGTTAAAAGAATATTATTATCTGCTGTTTCAGCGTTGAAAAAAAAATATTTTCAGTTACAAAAAACAAGTTTTTCATGTTAGTGAACATTTTTTTAGGCTATTCAATTTCTCAGAGAATTAGCCATGTTATAAATGCGATACTTAAAAAGTTTCCATTTTCAAATATTAACGTCTCTATTTCATTTATTACACAAATCTCTTGTTGGAACGCCTTACTATAGGCAACTGTCTTGACTTGGATGAATTTCTGGCGATTAGAAGCAGGCATCAAGAATAAATGAGATGGAATAATTTCTTCAAAATTTAACGTATAAAAAAGTGAATAAAAAATTAAATAAAAAAGTTTTTATAAAATCGATTTTATAAAATTATCGCTTTATAAAAACTTTATAAAAACTTTATGAAAACTTTATGAAAAAATCGAAAATTTTGTTTTTGATAAAAACCATTTTATAAAAATCAAATTATGGAAATATATTATGGATATATATAAAGTTTTTATATGGTTTTTATCAAAAACAAAATTTTTGATTTTTTTATAAAGTTTTTATAAAGTTTTCATAAAGCGATAATTTTATAAAAACTTTTTAATTTTTTTACTTGGGACGGTCCAGAATAATGATATGTACAATTTACTAGAGTATAGTATTCAAATTTAATCATTTTCCATAAATTAATTTCACTTTATTATACGTACAAGTAGCCAAAGCTCATCTAATGCTTAGCTTGAGGTTTCGACCTACGCCAGTTGTCTATCGAACAACATGAAACCTCATAAAACTATTTTGATTCATCCGACGACTTGAAATTCTACGTTAGGTAGCTTACATTTGTGAAATGCCTACGTAGAAGGTATTTAGACTTATATCACTATTCACTACTTTAAAATGGGACATTGAAAAGGGTAGTTACGTGTGATCTTCAAAAAAATCCTTTTTTCACCTTTACAGTCTAACACTATGAATGAAAAATTCAAAATAATCAATCCCCCTTCAAAAAATGTTGAAAAAGTATTAGTTTATTTTAGTTCATAACAAAAGCAAGCGTCTTCACTTTTCAGTCAGTCACTTTTTCATAAGCAAACCAAATAAATGAAAATATAAAATAAAATAAAACAGTAAAAAATAAATAAAAAGTTTCTTATTTCACTGACTTTTTCCGAATTCAAAAATGTTCATTTCTTAGTTTTGCTATTTGCCTTACAAAATGATTTTCTTCTATTTGCGGTTTGTGGCGTTGAAAATGGATCGAATGAAAATATTTGCATTTTAGAGCTACCTTTAAATCCCTATATTTTTATGTTCATGGATTATTGCATTCGAAAATTTGTACAAACACCTGATATTCTTGATTTGCTGTAGATTTCAAATTTTATCTACGATTTAATCATTTTTTTCAAAGTTTTAATTTCAAAATAGCGTTCGAGTCATTTGAGCTAAATGCATACACAAATTGAGATTTATTTTGTAGATCACGTGCTTTGGATAAAAAAAAATTTGAAACTATTCTTTTTTGTTTTATTTAATTATAAATTTAATAAAATTAAAAATCCGCAAAATTACATTAAACATTTAAAATTGTTAAAGACAATTAGCTCTTGTTTTATTTGGATTGCAATAATAATAGTTTAAAGCTATAAAGTTTTAAATTCAATTGCTTCCTCACAGAGGAAGCTTTGTGAAGGACCAATTTTCGACTTTCATAACTAATAATCGTAGAGTTTTTTTACAAATATATTCTTAAACTAAACCGAATTGCTGATATATGTCTGTATGTGTGTGTATTTTTAGTTCTGCGTTAAGTATTTAATAAGTTATGAGGGATTTTTGAGAAAAAAAAATTTTTTTCAGGTTTTTTTTTTGTTTTGTCATATTTGTTCAAATACAAACCGGTTTTTTTGAATAAAAGTAATATTTTTTTTTAAGGAAGACCTTTTAACCTTTGAAATTTATGATGTGTCAAAATAGTAGTTTTCGATACAAGGGCCATAAGTAACACTTTTTGGCACGGCGTAGTTTAGGGCCCGAGCGCAACGAGGGTCCTAATAGCTGGGCCGAAAAGTGTCCCCTATGTAACGAGTATCGTACAACATTTTATAGCACTGTGCTAAGTTCACATTTATGACCCCTTTTCCGAGTCATGAGTCGCACTTTCTGGTAGCACGAAGTAAGGTTAGCGCACGAGCGTATGCGAGTGTGATGCGAACGCAGCGGTGCCAGAATGTGCGACTTATGCCACCGATT